CTTGTTTCATGCTGAGTCATGCTCCTGATCACACACTGAGCCCTGATCCTGGTCTCAAGCTGAGCCCTGACATTTTTTATATGCTAAGCCCTGATCTTAGTCACAAGCTGAGCTCTGACCTTTGTTACATGCTGAGCCCCGATCTTGATCACACACTGAGCCCGGATTCTGGTCACACACTGAGCCCTGACCCAGAAGTTCCTGGTGGAACTGAGGAGGGAAGGGTGTGGCTCTCTTGGAACACAGTCCTCCCAGACAGAGCCAGCCCAGACCCTGGCTGGGCTACATTTTTCCACACCCCAATCAGGCAGCTGAAACTTTGCAGAAAGGCTTAGCCTGGATCTCTCCAGCAAGGGTCAGGCAGAAATCTAGGAGGAGCTGAATGCCTGGGGGCCGGGCGTGTGTTCTGGGTAGAAGGCACAGGTGGGGCCCCTGGGTCTGAGGACAGGAAGGAGTTGGGCCATGCCATGGCAGAGGAATTGGGTCAGGCCTCAAGAGGAACCCAGGGTGTGTAGGGTGGGGTGTCTAATCCAGTTAGCTGCACCCAGCATCAACGGCCCATTGCAGCATGGCTGAGTGGCACCATCCAAGCAAAACCAGACAGGCTTGCTGCTGCTCAGCCTTCACCCAGCCCAGGTTGGGCGGCCGTGCCTAAGTCAATTGCTTCTCAGAGCCACAGTTCCCTTATGCAAAATAAATTCATTTTCACTGTGAGCCTCCAGCGCTACAGTGAGGAAAAGTGAGATCCGCTAGGCCAAGTCTTTGACACAAGTGGGGCGCTGGGGAATCCTGGGTGCCCCCCTCCCACCCCTGCACGCTCCGCCCCCACCTAGTACTCAGTAGACACAGGCTGTCCCAGCCTCTGGGTCAAAGACCAGATCCCAGACAGCCGATCCAGAAGGAGAGCCTGGGGACCCTAAAAGGGCCATGGCAGAGAGGGGGTGCAGGCAGGAGAGTGTGGTCTCCCAGAGATGGAATTTCAGCCACTGGGGCTGGTGAAGGAGAAGGGAAGGGCATTCCTGGCAGTGGGAACAGCAGGAGTGAAGATCAGGAGGGGGTGGGATTCGGGTGCGCGGGCTGGGCATAGTTCAGTGAGATCATGGCCTTGAACGCCAGGCCCAGGAAGACGCAGGCTGCTGTCAAGGCCTTGGTCCCCCCAACCCTACACACTGGCAGCTGCAGGCCTTGGGGCAGGGGTGGCAGGATCACAGGCCAGACACTACCTGGGGAGGCTGGTGCAAGCACTCTGCGGGGGTGTCCATCGGGGGACCAGGGAGCTGAGCAGGAGACACCCGGAGTCACTCCAACCCAAAGCCACTGTCTCCTGTCTGAGCCGTGGACAAGGAACGTTCCCTCCATTTCCTCACCTGCAAGGAGGCCCGGTAAGCACTGCCTGAGGGCAGCCTTATTGGGATGTTAGAGATTAAAGTGTCCGACCGGCAGGTAGCCAAGGGGTCTGGGATTCGCACCCCCAAGGCGACTCCGGCTTCTCCCAACCCTACTCTCCAACTAGGACCTTCTCTGCTCACCCAGTAGTTTTTGGCATTTGCCTCCTTAAGCCTCTGAGCAAATCCTGTAGCTGTCTGTCGGGGTGGGAGTTCAGTCCCAGACCCCTAACACCCAGCCTGACCACCCCAAGGAAATCAGAGCTGGGGCCAAGGTTCTCCCAGGAACATTCCAGGCCAGAGTCTGGGAAGATCCAGCACTGGGCTCTCCCCTGGAACACAGGTGTCCTGAGGCAGGAGGGACCAGCAGCCAGGGGTGGCCCGCCACCATCCCGTCACCTTCCAGATAGTGGGGGGGGGGGTCCCTGGGCTGCCTGGCATGAGCCAGAGGGAAGTAGGGTGAAGGTCCGCAGCACAGGGTGTTTAGGGGTCTTGAGGAGGATCCCCACAAAGGGAAGGGGGGCAGCCCCAGGCCACGGTGGCAGGGGTGGAGAGCTGGAGGGGTCAGGAAGGGGCAGGGAGGAGACCTAGCTGGTACTGGAGGAATGAGGAAGGCACAGGGAGGGTCCCAGGCATGTGGGGTGGGCCCAGCGGGCCAGGCTGGGAGTGGGAGGAGCTGCAGTGAAAGATGGGGAGTCAGTGGAGGCCAGCCTGGGCGGGGTCTTCACACCTTCACCCTGGGGAAACTTGATCTCATTAATCTGCTCAGCAGACCGGTCCGGCGGCCACTGCACTTGGAATCGCTGTCCCCGCCGGGCAAGCCCAGGGCGAGAGCACAGAGTGGGCCGGGACGATGCTGGGGACGCGGCTGGCGCGGCTGGTGCTCCTGGCACTGGTGCTGGCTGCCTGTGGAGAGCTCGGTGAGGTGTGGGACCCACAGGGGAGCTGGGGCAGAGGGAGACACCACCCACTGACATTCACACAGTGTTCCCAGGGAGGGCACCCCAGGAAGGAGCCTCAGAGGCAGGAGAAGCCAGAGGAGTGGGACCGTAGGGCCGCGTGCCACCCCTGACCATAAGGAGGGGAGGGTGGAGATGGAGAGAGGGCAGAGGGGCACCCACCCTAAGTGAGGGTGAGCAGAGTGTGGCCTTTGAGGTGGGCGGGGCCAGCCTGCCACACCCCTGGGCACCAGCCTACATGTCGAATTTTATGGGGGGTTATGGGCACCCAGAAGGGTCTTGAGCTGGGGAAGGAAGGGGTCCCCAAGCAGTCTCTGAGTCTAGGTGGCAGTGGGGATGGAGAGGAGTGGGGAAGCCAGACACCTGGGGTGGGGTGACTCCCAGATGTGGGGCTGGAGACAGCCATCAGGGCAGTGTTCTGGACTCAAATAGAAGAGCAGCTTGGCCCGGGGCCCCTGGCGGATGGCTCTGCCCATTTCCCACAAACAGGTGCACCAGAGAGGGCAGAGGCCCTGCCGGGTCCCACTGTGGGGATGGAGGGGTTGGGTCTCGCTGTGCAGCCGGCTGCCTGGGCCAGCTGGAGCCAGTGAGACCCACCTGGGCTGCTGTGGTTGGGGTTGGGGGTGTCACCGGAGCAGGAAGGAATTGGAGCAGCTCCGGTCCCCGCCCCTGCCGGCCTGAAAGTCTCTGGGGGAAAGGAGTGAGCATCCAGACACAGCCCGGATGCAGCCTGGCCCACCCTGCACTGCACTGCACGGCCTCCTGGCTTGTCCTGAATCGCCACAGCAGGACTTCCCTGATGGGGAAACTGAGGGGGTCACCTGCTCCCAGCCACACACCCAAGCTTCCCGCCCCAGGTGCCTTTTGCTGTGAGGATGCTAGGGCCTTGGTTCCCCTGAGCCTCCCAAACACTTCCAAAGGAGCTCGGCCCCCCAGCAGCACACTCTGCCTCTGGGACGCAGGGTCCCGGGGCTGAGCCTGGCCCATCCCCAGCCCCACGGTCTGGTATTGCTCCTGAGCTTAGGCTGGTGGGCACCTTGGCCCTGGGCGGTGCCACTGTCCCCTCGTTTAGGCCGGTGGGCACCTTGGCCCTGGGTGGTGTCACTGTCCCATCATTTAGGCTGGTGGGCACCTTGGCCCTGGGCGGTGCCGCTATCCCCTCAGACCTGGGCTTCTAGGGCAGGCTGGCTGTGGGCTTGGGAGGGGCAGTGCCTGCCTAATGGCCCTCGTCCCTTCTCCCCAGCGCTGGCCCTGCGCTGCTATGTCTGTCCGGAGCCCACAGGAGCGTTTGACTGCGTCACCATCGCCAACTGCACCACCAACGAAACCATGTGCAAGACCACACTCTACTCCCGGGAGATAGGTCAGTGGGCCGGGAGCGGGCACAGCTGGGTTCCAGCTCAGAGCCACCCCCTGCCCAGTGGCCACCAGCCAAGCTGGCCCCAGTGCACAGCCACTACCTCACCCATCTGCAAAAAAGGGCTTTCTGATGGGCAAGGCCCCCCCCCACCCTCCCCTTCCTTCCTCTCTCCCTCTGCTCCTTCAGCGGGCACGATTCTGCAGCCTCGTTTTGGAATGGCTGGGAAGGTGGGCGCACTGACAGGCTTTGGTTTCACAGTCACATCAGGGTGGGAACTGCCCCATCCAGCAGGGTGCAGAATGCCAGCTGTGTGCCTGGCACATGGTAGGCACCCAGCCAACATCGGTGGGGGGAAAGAGAAAGAGGAGAGCACCCAGCCAGGAGGGAGGGAGACCCAGAGGGGTAACCCCAGAGTGAGTGCTGCACGAGGCAGCGCCGGCAGGGACCAGGGCTGGGAGGCAGCAAGGACCAGCCCTGACGGCGGACTCTGCACACACCCCACAGTGTACCCCTTCCAGGGGGACTCCACGGTGACCAAGTCCTGCGCCAGCAAGTGTGAGCCCTCGGATGTGGATGGCATCGGCCAGACCCGGCCCGTGTCCTGCTGCAACACTGAGCTGTGCAATGTGGATGGGGTGCCCACGCTGGGCCGCCCCCACTGGCTGGCCGGGGCCCTCACGCTGCTCCTGCTCCTGAGCCTTGGACTCTGAGCGCCCGCCCACCCCCACAGCCCCCCCCCAGCTGGCCTGTGCCACCTGCCCCGAATGCCTTGAAGAAGTGCAGCTTGCACCAGGACTCCTGAGTCTCCTTTCTGGGCACCGACCCACCTTCCAGGGCATAGAGAGGAGCTCCCAGCTGCGTCTCCGACCCCATCTGTGTCCCCGTCCCTGTCTGTCTCTCTTCCTGCCTTCCTGTGATGTTAAGCTCTATCCCATTGCAAGAACAGCCATTAGGCCTGGGACCCCCACACAAACCATGCAGATTTCTGCCTTTCAGCTCTCTAGGGATGTGGGGGCCTGACCAGGGTGGGGCAGGAGCTGAGACCCGTGGGCAGGGGAGCACCACATCTACCAGGGTGCAGTCAGGGCCAGCTCCCTGGAGGAGGGGGCATTAGGGCCAGGCCTTGAATGATGGAGAGATCTGGCAGGCCTTGAGGAGGGCAAGGCATGTCAGGTGGAAGGAAGGTCACGGTAGTGACCAGGAGCCAGGTTGTCCCCTGGAGCACCCCACTGCCCACCTCCCTAGCCTGAGCAGGGCCTTGCCATAAGGCTGATGCTGGAGGCCACTTTGAGGAGGAGGCCACTGGTCAGATCCCAGTGAGTTCGCTGCCTGCCTCCCAGGCTCACCCCACATGTCCACCTCACACCCTGCCCTCACTCAGCTCTGCTCCCAAGGGTCAGTGGCCAGGACAGCCACAAGTTCTGGTGCAGAAGGGGCCTTCATTTCACCTTGGCCCTGAGCCAATGCCCCAGTCCGCCAGGCCGGCTATCCAGGGAGTCCTCTGCCCCACAGGCCTCCAGGCAGAGACTCCCCGTGATCACAGGCAGGGACACGCATGCACGTGGTCCTAGAAACACACAAGGAACTCAAGGACCTGGGGAAGGACAAGACCCACTGGCCTCCTGCCTAGTGCCGGCCCCTCCCCAGGGCTGCCCAGGAGGTGGCAGCAAGAGGTGGGCCCCGTCCTGGCCAGAAGAGGAGAATGTTCACCCTGGAACCTGCCCTTCCCCTTGGACCCTGCAGACCCCCCGCTCAGCCCGCCCACCTCACCCTCCCTGCTCCAACACTGCTTCTGGGCCCATGGGTGTCAACTCCTGGGGCAAGACCTGTAGCCCACAGCGGGTTCTGTGGTTCAGGGTCTACTCCTGGGGCCGGGCCCCCACCACCCAGTGCGCCCCACCAGCGGGAGCACAGCTCAGCACAGCACAGCACCATCTGTCAGACATGTCTTGGTGCTAAAAAGACCGCAGCCTCCTGGGGAGGGAGGGCCTGGGAGGCTGGGAACATTCTAGAGCTGTGACCCTGAGCTCTGATTTTTGTCAAGAGGGAGATGCGCTCTTAGCCATCAAACACCTCACACCTCTCACCTGGGTTTTCTCAAGAATCTCACACAGTGGCCTCAAAGTCTGGGCTGAGACTACACACACACACACACACACACACACACACACACACACCCCACAAACACACATGCATTCCACAACCCCCACCGAGACTGAGAACAAGGCCTATCTGTGATCAGAGATCAGGGCTCAGCCTGAAGTCAGGATCGGGCTCAGTCTGGTCAGTGATCAGGGCTCCGTCTGTAACCAGTGGCAGGCCCTGATCTATGATTGACATCGGGGCTCCGTGTGTGATCCTGTGGCTCAGCCATGGAGTGGGACTCAGCCGAGGACCGAGGATCAGGACTCGGTCTGTAACCAGGGTCCAGGCTCAGTGTGTGGTCAGGAAAAGGCTTCAGTCAATGAGAGGGGAAGGGGCGCAGTTCAGGCCAAGCACAGGCTACGAGTCAGGCCCGATCCAAGCCTGAGAACCTTTCACCTTAACCTCACCATCCACAATGCCATCTTTCAGGTACCTGCCCCTGAGATTCCCTATGACCCAAGTCCTTCAACCAGGCTTACTCCTCATCTTGCCAGTGGGGTAGGAGAGGCTTATAATGAGGTGCCAGGACAGGGACCCAGGGTGCCCTCAGAGCAGTGGCCTTGGCAGTTTCACAGCCTGTAGAAATGGGCAGGGCAGGACATGGCTTGACGGGGAAAAGAAGAGCCAGCGGTTCCAGACTTTGGTTAGGAAAGGAACCGGGAACAGGCGGGGGAGGGGAGGGGCTGAACTCAGCATCTGATGGCTCAGGCCACCCCCACCCCTGGTGGGCTGATGGAGTGGGCTCTGTTCTTCTCCCAGGACCTGCCAGCTCCAGCACCCTCTGCCCCAGCCCCATCACAACTGCCCTGAAATCGGAGGAATGATGAGACATCTTGCCAGCCATCCTCTTTTTCTCCCCGACTCCTGCCCTACCCCAGGCCACCCACTGTGACCTTCCAGGACAGGATGAGCACCTGCTGCACTTCCTCAGGGAGGAGGGCCCAGCCCATGACAGGACAGGGATGTCTGGATCTCAAAGGCAGACAAGAGAGCCAGGACAAGGATGGGGCCTAGAACTAGCCTTCAAGGGGACAAAGCACCCACTGGACCTCAGCCGCCACCTCCCATCTCAGATGGAAGGGAGGTGGACAGACGAATGGGTGGGTGGATGGTGGATGGATAGGGGATGGGGGATGATTGGGTGAGTACATGGACGGGTGAGTGGATGGATGTGGGGGGATGGGTGGATGGGGGATGGTGGATGGATGGGTGGACGGACGGGTGAGTGGATGGATGGGTGGGTAGATGGGTGGAT